ACAATCAAGCTGGGAAATTGTTGGGGATAATATTTAATTTGGTTTGATTGATCTTTTGGGATTATGTGTGTAAATTTGATAAAGTAAAAAATATATGTGTATTAAGTTTTCTTTTCTCGTCAGAGTTCTGAAATGTTTAGAAGATGTTTTTCTGTTTTTTTGTTTATTCCGGAGTTTTGTGTTAATTTAGCTTTGTGGTATAATTAAGCCAGAGCTTTTCTTACATGGCTGGAGGTAAGATCGTTTGTTGCGTGCTGCTGGTAAAAGTTTCTCTTATAAGTTTGTAAATAATATTTGAGTACAATCAAGCTGGGAAATTGTTGGGGATAATATTTAATTTGGTTTGATTGATCTTGTGGGATTATGTGTGTAAATTTGATAAAGTAAAAAATATATGTGTATTAAGTTTTCTTTTCTCGTCAGAGTTCTGAAATGTTTAGAAGATGTTTTTCTGTTTTTTTGTTTATTCCGGAGTTTTGTGTTAATTTAGCTTTGTGGTATAATTGAGCCAGAGCTTTTCTTACATGGCTGGAGGTAAGATCGTTTGTGGCGCGCTGCTGGGGAGCTGGGAGTGCGAGGTAGCCAGAACGCACAGCTCATGAATGTCATACATTTACAGTAAAAGTCTTCAGACCAAGCACGGTGTCCGGTCATCTTTGCGCGCCAGAACACAACGCAGGAAGAATTTCGGGCGGGACGGACTGACACGGGTTACACGGTCGCCGTGAAACTTCTTAGAGGGACAAGTGGCGTTCAGCCACACGAGATAACAGGTCTGTGATGCCCTTAGATGTCCGGGGCTGCACGCGTGCCACACTCAGTGGAGCAGCGTGTGCGCACTCTTCGCCAAGAGGCGTGGGTAACGCGCTGAACCCCATGCGTGCTGGGGATTGGGGATTGCAATTATTTCCCATGAATGAGGAATTCCAGTAAGCGCGACTCATAAGCTTGCATTGATTAAGTCTCTGCCCTTTGTACACATCGCCCGTCAATAGTACCGATTGGATGGTTTAGTGAGGTCCTTGGATCGGCCTTGCAGGGGTTGGCAATGGCCCTGGCCGAGTGCGGAGATGACGATTGAAGTAGAGGAATCTAAAGGAAGTAAAAGTTTTTACAAGGTTTCTATGGGAAGGATTATTTATTGGCAGTTGCCATATGTGTGTGTGGGTGCTGTTACCTTTCCTAAGGTGCTGCACGACCGTGGTCGGCGGCTCAGGGGAGCTCTTTTCCCCGCCATCTGAGTAACTCCAGGGCCGGGGAGAACTTACCATGTGCCTCTGGGGTAATAACCCACTTCAGTCACTCCAAAAAAAAAAATTTATTAATTAAAGGACAACAGACATCCAAAGCATCCAAAGTAGCTGATTTTACAGCAGCAAGGAAATTTCAATAGTCATACTTAAGGGGGGGCTTAAAATTGTACTTGGAAAGAAAACTCTTAATCAGCATTTCAACAAATATATATAATAGCATATATAATATCAGAACATGTTTGTTTTTCCTTCCAACCCTAGAATACTTTTTTTTTCTTTTTTCTTTTAGTCCAGTGGATATTTCAGTTCACAGACCCACCCACTCTCCAAACTTTACTGATGGTCTTTTGTTTCTCTTTGGAAATCCCAACTGTGTCTGGCTCATAGAACCAATCAACTTCCCCTCTGTGAAGGCCTGAGTGTTGTGTTCAGCTTTGTTGACCTATGCTACCCCCACTGGTTCGTGCTCCCTCTTCCAGCTTGGACATGGGGTGGATGAGATGGAGATGGAAGCGGGCTCACCCTTCCCCTCACGGTAACTGCCCTGATCCTCCTCAAACAAACTGCACAAACCCAGTGCAGCATTGGAAAAGCCATCATCAGGGACTAGGAGTGCCATCGCTGTCGGTATCCACTGCTCCGCATGCCTGAACACCCCATAGCTGTCTAGAGGCGTGTAAGAGTGGTAATGCTTGAGTTTGTCATGATGAAGAACCTTCACCTTCGTCCAAGGGCTCTTTTGAATCCGGTACACAAGGTCATCCAAATGACCCAATATGAAGTAGTTTGGGCGAAACTTGCAGATCTTTCCTGGCACCCTCTTGGTTCTTTTTATTAGATACCACACAGCATCCCCAATGTTATAGCGGTTCCTTGCCATGCACTTATCATAGTGCTTCTTGGTGTGCTCCACCGACTGACCCAATGCCTCCCTTGCTACAGCATCTTCCATGTGGTACCAACATCATAATAAAATGCCGTCTTTAATATTCAATCTTGCCCACTGGTCCCAATATGCCTTGGTCGCGGGCCGAAAGGGTGACACATCTACCCATGTAGGACGTTCTACCTGCCTTTCCACCCACCCCCTTATAGGGCCTATATCTGGGTCATCCATCTGGGCTTCTCTCAGTTCTTGCCTTCTCCAGCCATGAAACAATGAGTCAGGAGTCGCCTTAGCGTCACAGATCCTCTCTGACCTGGGTAGATGAGGTTCAACCTCACAAAGCTCTGCCCCCCCCCATTGAGAGTCACATTAACAGCTTAGAAGAGGAGTTTTAGCAGGCTGGAGGTTTGGTCTGCCACCACTGTCAAGATTTTGCTTGATCTGCTGATCGGCATTAACGTCTCTCAAAGGCCATTCGGCATGGTAGCTGTTTCACTGGAGGCCCTGGTAGAGCTTGGATATCATGTAGCAGAATGCAAGTGTGCCTAAGGTCTGTGGGCCCAGTGGAGAAAACGTCTCTATACGTACTGAGTAAAATGGCTAAGGCTGTACATTCACTTCTGCTCAAAGCAGCAGAGCTGTCTCTGTACAAAGACTGTAGATGTGCAGGGACACAGGGTGGATCAGGCCTTGTTGCTGCCAACAATGAGCAGCCCCAGTTGGTGGTACTACTTTAGCAGGCTGCAGGAATCCCACTATAGCACCCTTCCTTACTTTCAGCAAAACTGTGCCAGGATTGTAGAGTCTAAATGGAATATGTTTAGTATATTGGCATTAACCACCACCTGTGCCACCAGTAGATGGTGTTTCTCAACAAATCCCCTCGTGGGGCTCAGCAAGACAATCTCCTGAGTGAGGTCACGGAAGTATGCATTGTCTAGCACTATGTATTCACATCCAGACTCATTTCATTTGGGCGTCATCTCATTTACAGCATTTAGCAGACACTTTTATCCAGAGTGACTTCCATTTTCTAAATTCAGGGACAAGTTGGGGTTAAAGATTTTGCTCAGGGACCCAATGATGGTAGTGCCAGATGTGGGACTCAAACCCGTGATATCTTGGCCTAGAGGCAAGCATCCTAACCACTAGATCGCCATCACCACCAGACTCAAAGATAGTGATACGGGCTATTCTCACAACATGCCACCCTAAGCCTGTTCTTATGGTCAAAGTATGGTCACGGAAGAGCACAATTTTCTGGCTGCAGAAATCCAGCCATGCTCATGATTGCTCCAGAAATGGTGGCCTAGGATAGCTTCTGCATTCTCCACCCCCTCTGCAACAATACAGTTGACACTTACAGTGTGGGTGCCAATATGAACAGGTAGGTCTATTTCTCCATCAACCTGTACATCATCAGGACTGATGCTCCACAAAGAATTCACAGCTGAGGGTCGTAGTGGAGGGCGGACATCAGAATGAATGTGATTATAGCAGTGCAGTGGCAACACATTCCTTCGGGACCCACTGTCCAACACCCGCTCAGGGGAGCTCTCTTCCCTGCTATCTGAGTAGCTCTAGGGCCGGGGGTGAACTTACTGTGTGCCCCCACTGTAATAAACCGATTCAGTCACTCCAAAAAAATAAATTAAAGGATGATGGACAACCAATGCATACACTGTAGCTGACTTTACTGCAGCAAGGGAATTTCATAGAGTCAAACTTAAGGGGCGGCTAGAAAATTGTGCTTGGGAAAGAGACATTACTCCTGCTACCGTGCCATCACAAATAGTCTCTCCCCCCCTCCCTGGAGTCCAACCACGGCATAAGCGGCGTAGACCTCCAACCCCCAACAGTCCCCACCTACCTCGTCACCGCCACCATTGCGTCGTGTCTCTCATAAGCCCCGGGGACAGAGGCGGGGATTTCCCCCACCAACCCACACCACTGTGCTGCCACTGCTCTCAGCAGGGCGGCCACCAGCAGACCGAGGTGAGCAGGGGTTAGGCCTGGGTAAGGCAAGAGGAAAGGGTACATGCACGTGGGGGGCCGAGGTCGGACGGGTGGTCGATCCTGTGGGGACTCTCCCTCCGCGATCCCCCCTCCAACCTGCCACCCCCTGCTCCTTTCCAGTCCTTGATCCGTATAAGCGGTTGATCTCCATAACCATGATCACTATAATTGGTTTCCATAGTTTGTGTTTATGGGATGTTGTGCATACATTTTCAGCAGCACATACAGTACAAGCCTCTCATCAGCCAGTCCCTCTGGTTATGGCAGGGAAGCTCGTGCATGAGAACTCACATCAGCCAAAGCGATGGAGTCTTACTCTTAGCTTGGGAGTTAGCTCTTTTCCTAACTAAAAATTGCTCTCAGCCACTTTTAGGAAAAAACTCTTAGTTAAAAGCTTTTATTGCGATTTAGGAGGACTTAGTGGTAAGATAAAATGCTTTGTGAATATGGGCCCAGGTTCCACATTTTGCTTTGGTTCAATATGATAAATGATTAATATGAAACTGTCAATCCCGTGGTGGTCTGTCTCTGAATACCTAGGTAGATTGGGTACATGAATGGATTTTTAAAATAATGAAAAATTACAAATTATAACAATTGTAAACTGTAAGAGTAAATATAGTAATATTAATAAAAAGTTTTTTCTGTTTCTGAATCTTACATTTTTTGCATGAACTGTGTGACTAAAAGTGATGCTTCCTTCTTTTGATGGCTGATATGGTGATACAACAGGTACAGCGATCTCACTCATCCACACTGTTATGTTAAACACAACTTGCTGGTACTCTTTTTCAAAGTATTATTAACAAAAACAACTAATAATTTATAATATTGAAAATGTGAACTCAGTTGATTATTTTGCCTGCAGGTGCTGACAGTGTGTCCACAGTGAACTGGGTGTCTGCATGGAGAGGAGGGTCTGTCACCATCCCATGTTTCTATGGTGACAGATATAAAACTCATGTGAAATACTGGTGCAGAGGGAGAGAATGGAGTTCATGTACTCCCATAGTACACAGTGACTCTCCACAGGAGGGTAACGTGTCAGTCAGAGATGATCCTGACCAGCGAGTCTTCACTCTGACCATCAACAATCTGACAGCTGGGGACTCTGGTTATTACTCCTGTGGTCTGAAGGTCAATGGACGTTCAGAATCTGGAACTTGGGTTGAACTGTCAGTCACTGATGGTAAGATGTCTGTGAAAAACATCTGATCACACCATTTTCATGCATGAATGTCTGTTGTCACAGTTCCGAAGGTCACAGTGAGGAGGAATCCCACAGGAGACAGGATGCGAGTGTGAATGTAGAAGTTTAATTAAATAAAGCAGAAACAATCCAGCGGCACAGCCCTGAACAGGAAACTAAACACAAACTCACGTAAACCGCCGGGTTCACTGTCAGAGCAGACTGGGCCTAAGATCACTGATCAGAGAGCAAGGAGAGAGCAGTGTTTAACACAGGAGAGCAAACAGCAGACAAGTTTTAAGGGTACGTCCGAAATCGCATACTTGTTTGCTATGTAGTAGGTGAAATATAGTATGTGACATGAGCAGTATGTTTGGATCTGTAATATGGACGAGACAGTAGGTGTACGGCAGGGTTATTCAACTCACAGTTCTCGAGGTCCGAGCACTGCTCGTTTTCCAGCCTTTCTTTACCTGTCAGTCAGGTGTGAAGCCTCTGACCAATCAGAATCAGTAATTATTAAACAACTACCTGGGAGAACTGAAAACAAGGCCTGGATTTGGAATCGAGGTCCAGAATTGAAGAACCCTGGTGTACGGTATACGAATAACATACTACATTCTGTGAAAATCCAAAGTGTGCAACCAATGGATGCTACGCTATCCCACAAGGCCACTGGAGCGGTGACCAGAGGCAAAGAACGTCACTTGCTCAGAAATATGTGTACAAATTTAAGTAAAAACCAATACACAGTTAAATAAGTTCACTTGTATTTTTGTAGTTGATAGTTTTTAACAGTTTTTGAAGTTTTTGGGGTTCAAGCTACATCATTGGTAAACGTCTTGGCCCTGTAATATGCAGGATGGTGCCCACAGTGTGTTCAAATGTATGCATACTGTTCTCATGCAGACATACAGCACATACTACATCAATGGCCAAGTAGTAGGCTTCTGAAAGTAACTTATATTACAATAGAGAAGGAATAATGAAGATAGGAATGGATCCACCAGTGAAAAATGCAATTAGAAGGAATATAAAAATGAATGTTTCTTGATGGCGATGTTTAGGAGGGAATTCTTAAGAATTATTTAATTATAGAAGCATTAAACTATTTATGTAGATCAAGATCTAATATATGTTTTGATAAATGAGATCTGGGAGATGTAACAGTGTCAGTTTGAATGGGTTAATTCATGAGGATTTATATGACGTGTAATATGTTAAGAAATGTCCTTTAGTTTTGAATGAATGTAAAATTCATGGAAAACCATAAATATTATGAACAAGTCTAATCCAGCAAAGGTCTCTGTAAGCTAATTCTGAAAATTAATGTTCTTCCCTCATTCCAAAAACATGCTGAGGTGGATTAGAATTGCCATATGCTGTGTGAGTGACCCTGTGATGGTTTGGCCCCATGTCCTGGTTATTCCCTACTTGGCAGCTGCAGCTTCTGGGATTGGCTGTAGACCCCCATGACCCTGCATAGGACAAGCAGGTGTGGATGGATGGATGGATGGACAATAATAATGAATACAATATTTAATTAAAACACACAAATTTTATTATTATGCAAAGTGAAGCACTGATACTGACTCTGTATTAATATGTGTATAAATGGTGTAAGAGGGAGTGAGAGTTAATCAGCCTGGTAATTTTCATACTGTCCCTGCAGGTGTGTCCACAGTGAAAGCCGTGTCTCTACAGGGAGGAGGATCTGTCACCATCCCATGTTTCTATGAGGACAGATATAAAACTCATGTGAAATACTGGTGCAGAGAGTACTCCCGTAGTACACAGTGACTCTCCACAGGAGGCTAAAGTGTTAATCAGAGGTGATCCTGACCAGCGAATCTTCACTGTGACCATCAACAATCTGACAGTTTGGGATTCTGATGAGTACTCATGTGGTGTGAAGATCAGTGGACGTTCAGATGCTGAAGCATCACTTTACCTGTCAGTCACTGATGGTAAGATGTCTGTATTGCAGACTGCAGCCAATGAGATGCACAGTAATGTAACGTGTCACTTATCATTCGTTCCTGTGGTGGTCTATTCAGGAGGAGCAGGCTTGATGGTGGCTGAGAAATTTTAACATTTAAAAAATGTATAGAATAGATTCAGAATTTTACTTTTGTTCAATAGCATGATTGAGACCATTGAAAAGTAGCAACATCAATTTAAATTTGTTGTCTTTCACTCTGCAGCAGGTTTGGAGCTAATTAACCTCTAGCTCAGGGGTCGGCAACCTTTTTGACATGGAGTGCCAATTATATATTTTCTTGTTAGTCCGCGTGCCATGTTAACGACGGGGGGGGGGCTAGATATTTTCTTGTTAGTTAGTGTGCCATGTTAACTACGTGCAAGACACCACAGATTTCGAACAGATATGGATATTTATTGTATTTGTCTCGAAATGACGTCTAACACTTGATGTTCGACACACAATACTTTCAAAAGCACGGTCCTTTTGATAAACAAACCCATATTCGGTCCATGAGGGCTGGAAACCCCGAACTGTTGGCTTCTTTGCCATCTTAGCGCAGCTGCTGCTGCATCAAGTAACGTAGGCTAATGTCCTGGGAGTGAGTGAGTGTGAGAGTGTGTGTGTGTTGGGGGGGGCAGGGCTACCATCGAGTAGTCAAACCAAAGCAGCAGGCGCGCCAAGCAACAGCCAATGACATTTCAACATCATAGAAGACGTCTGAAAAATTTTAATGTGTTTAATAATTAGGGTTGTGATCTAGAGACCTGCGCGGGATGAATTTTTCAGTCCCGCTCCTGCCCGCTCCCGCAAGATTCTGTCCCGCTCCCGCAAAAAAAAATATATTATTTTCTCCAGCTCCCGCCCGCAGTATTCAAGTTTTGTCCCACTCCTGCCCGCAAAATCCCGCAGGTAAACATATAAATAGCTTTATTTTTACCACTTCTTCCCGTTACTCTGTTATTTGTTTCACTTGCTTCCCTTTTGAGTGTACAGTATATAAAAAAGAAACGGAAAATAAACAAATATGTTTCGTTTTATTTCAGTTTAATTAAATGGAATGATGAACATGGACACGAACGAGGAGCTTTTCAGAACATAGAAATACACTCAGCACAGTTAGAATTAGGCTAATAATATTGCAATAAAACAAAATAATAATAAACGTTGATTTCTCAAGTGGTCAAACAGAAAAGCATTTGGCCTAATACTGCTCCAGAGCATTAGCCTTTAATTTAGTCGTTCTTGTTGCTTTTGTGCAGTAGATAAATAATAGAGTACTTGTTTTTAATAAATTAATTTTAAGATAATTCCATTTTGCGGGAGTATCGCAATTAATTCTATTCTCCCGCAACCCGCACATACATGAAGACCTTACCGCCCGCACCCGCATTCACACATCAAATCTTGTCCCGCGCCGCACTCGGTGCGTTGGGTCTCGGCGGGTCCCTCGGTACTCCCACGGGAGTGCAGGTCTCTATTGTGATCATCGTCAGCGTGCCACCCGAAATTCCCGAAGTGCCTAGGGTTGCCGACTCCTGCTCTAGTAGGGACTGGGGGCAGCGTGGGGACCTCACACCTCTAGGCTTGTGGTTTCGATATCCGGCCCCCAGCTCTCTGTCATTTTCTTTAGTTTTTATAAAATGTATGGTTACATTAATTTAAACACATACCTGGCTCATATAAGCATGTACAGTTGAGGACAAAATTATTAGCAAAGTTAACGTAACGGAGTGGCCTGCACAAAGCCCTGACTTAAATCCAACAGAAAATCTGTGGGGTGAACTAAAGAAGAAGGTCCATGCCAGAAGGCCATCAAATCTGGAGGAGCTTGAGAGATTTGCCAAAGAAGAATGGGCTGGGATTCCTCAGATGACCTGTCAGAGACTTGTTGAAAACTACAACAAACGACTGCAGGCTGTTATCCAACAAAAAGGATACACAATTGACCATTAATATTCAATGTACTAATAATTTTGACCATGGTAGTTTTTGGTTTCTGTGGAATATTTTCATTTCTGTGTGAAAAGTAAAATAACGTAAGCATCCAAAATAAAACTGAAATGTCTAAAAAAAAAAAGCCATGTTAAATTTATTTATTTATTATTATTTAAATATTTGCTCTATTTAACAGCACTTTTAAAATAATGAGATTTTCATAGGGAGGCTAATAGTTTTGTCCTTAACTGTAACTCGCTCTTATTTTATGCATAGTATATTTTATTTATGTGTAAAAATCACATTGTTTGTTCCTAATCTGTCTGTTCAGATTCCACATGGCTGTCAGTGGACAAACAGGAGGTGACGGGTGTGGAAGGAGACAGTGTCAGTGTTCAGTGTCGCTATGGAAACAGTAACAGTCTGAAACTGTGGTGTAAGATCGGGGGCTCCTGTGTGTCAGAGAGATCTGGGAGTTTGGATGGGAGGCCTGTCCTGATCAGGGATGACAGAGTAAATAAAGTCTTCAGTGTGACAATGGGGGGACTGGAGAGGAAGGACACTGGCTGGTACTGGTGTGCTGACAGAGACCATCAGATCCCAGTTCATATTACTGTCAATCAGACAACTACAACCACAACCAGCACTGAAGGTAAGTAACTCATTTAAATATGGTTGTGAGTCATTCATGCTTCAGTATAAATAGATAAATACTAAATTACCCTAACAGTTTCAGTCATGAAAGCGGTCTGTGTTTTTTTGTGGGATAATCTGGATCTTTATCATCTTCTGCAGTATGTTCCATGGGTCACACACTATGATGAAATTGCCGTCTTGTTGGTCATAGTGCAATAATGTGATGAATAGAATATTAATATGAAAGACATTTAAAGACTGACAATCTGACTATTGAAACATAAAGAGGCCTGAAGCCAAAAGTAAATTTCCTATAGGGGGTTACGCCCCCCCCCCCAGGTCCTCCTGAAGCCCACAGTCACTTCCTCGCTCCTGTCGATGTTTAGCAGCAGACTGTGGGCCTTGCATCACTCCACCAGCTCTCTCCCCCCCTGTCTGTACGCAGATTCGTCTCCCCCCCTCATGAGGCCGTCATGCTGCTGTCGTCTGCATTCTTTATGATGTGGTTAGAGGTGGTCTTGGCGGAGCAGGCGGATGTCAGCAGTGTGAATAGTAGGGGGCGGAGGCAGCGGCCTGGGGGAGTTCCTGTGCTCAGACTGACGGGAGCAGAAGTGATGTTTCCTGCCCTGACAGACTGTGGTCTCTGTCAGAAAGTCCAGGGTCTGGTGACAAAGTCACATTTTCAGCCCAAGATGGAGCAGCTTTTGGTTTGGTTGTTGTTCACTATTACCATGGTAACAGTAACCTTACATAACAGTCTTTATTCTCCAGGTGTGTCAGTGTGGTGTGAAGGGTCAGGGTTATGGTGCCCTCTGCAGGCCGGTTGGGCGGTATGCAAACTGGTATGGATGAAGAGAGACAGGGAGGTTTGCTTTGATGTGTCACATGACCAGCCGCTCAGAGCCCTTCATTATGATGGAGTGAGAGATACGGGTGGATAATCATTAAGCCCTGGAGCAGCTGTCTTCTTAGGCACCGTATGACTGTGGCAGTTTATAGGCAGTTGGGGATACATGCTTGTCTGAGTGAGGTGTTAAAGATGTCTGTCATGCCATCTGTGAGCTCATGGGCACAGTCCCTAAGAACCCAACCTGGAATATTGTCAGGACCAGCAGTCTTACGTGGGTTCATGTTACGCAGAGTGTTCCTCACTCCCGTGGTGGACAGGTGGGGTGTCTGTTCATTGGTGGGAGGGGTGCTCTTCTCTGCGTTGTTGTGTGACACATCAAACTAGGCAGAGAGCTAGTTAAGCCTGTCAGGGAGGGAGGTGTCACAATCCATGGTATGTGAGGTGGTGTTGAATTCTGCGAAGGTCTGTATAAGATTAAGATTTTATTTATTTATTTGTTTGTTTGTTTGTCTATTTATTATTTATTATTTGATTGATGAATCTGGTAACACTTTAGTTGACAGGGCAGAAATATTATAGTATTATACTTATAACAATTACTTCAAAAACAGTACTTCAAAAAAGTAATTGCATATTACTTATGTATTAATTAACCACAATCTAAGGCCCCGTTTACACTGTCTGTTAAATGCGACCTAATTCCGATTTTTTGCTCATATGTGACACAGATCGGATCTGTTCTGTGACAGTGTAAATGGGAAAAAAACGCATGCATTCGGATATTTCGAGATCGGTTTCAGGCCTCATTCATATGTAGAAATAAATCAGATATAAATCAGATATGGGCCAATGCGACTGTAATGTAAACAGGCAGATCGGATTTTCTGAGGCATTGCGTTCTGTACGTCATTAAACTGCGTACGTGAAGCGTACGTGAAAAGTACGTGGGAAGTACGTGTGGAAGCGTAACATTCAAGAAACACACGAAACATGGAGGAGGAAAGTGTAGGGCAGTGGTCGGCGTCTGAAATAGCCTACGTTCTCACCCTGTGGGGAGAAGAATCCGTTCAGGATAAAATTAAAGGTTCCTACAGAAACAAATCTGTTTTCGAGGATATTTCGGCTGCAATGATGGCCCTTTTCCTCCTCCTTCGCCTCAAAATCGTGATATTGTTCGGCGAACTTCGCAAAGCTATCATAAAACAAATTTCGCGTTCGTCCATCTTGGCTACGGTGTTGTGCAAAAACCCCCGTTGAGCATGTGCGAAATTATAGCAAGTGTAAACACACGAATCGGATATGGGTTAAAAAGACCGTGTAAACAGACGGTCCAAAAAATCGGATATAGGCTAGGGTGACCAGACAATCCATGTCAGGGAGGACACTTTGAGCTACTTCGGGTTTTACAAACTACTTTCTAATTGAAAGGCTCCTGTGCTCGGCTAAATAGTTTAGCTCTTCTTGTGCTTTGACTGGTTTGTTTCCTTGACTGAAAGACTCATCCAGCTGTTTCACATTAGCATTAGTGACACATGCATGATTATAGGAGACTGACCAATCAGCACACAGCAAGAGCTGAGTGCTCAAGTGAAATCCAGGTCCGTTTAATTGAAATGGTAATTTACAATTCCTGTCCTAGCTCAGAGTGTCCTCCCTGACATGGATTATCTGGTCACCCTAATATAGGCAACAAATCAGAATTAGGCATCAAGACCTGCAGTGTAAACGGGGCCTAAGTCTTACATACTGATCTCATTTTAATTCAATATTAATGAATCATGATGCATCTTTCATCGCAAGCAGTTACTATATTTATTACTATATCTGTTAATTCTTAAAAATTTTGTGAACTACAGAAGGAACAAGTAATGAATAATGAGAAATACAGATCATTAATGAATCGTGACACATCTTCTATCTCAAGAAGCAACAAAGTTTCTTTACAATTTGTTGATAATTTGTACCTGCGATGGGCTGGCCCCCCATCCTGGGTTGTTCCCTGCCTCGTGCCCATAGGTTCCGGGATAGGCTCCAGACCCCCGCGACCCAGAATGATAAGCGGTTTGGATAATGGATGGAAGGATGGATGGATGGATGGATAATTTGTACTTCAGTAGTAACTGAGTTATTGCTAAGTATTTGTGCCCCGTCAAGAAAAGTGTTACCATTAATCTTAAACCAAGAGAGGGCAACTCAGTGCACCTGATCCATGAGAGATTAAATGATATTAAATCCTGGATGACATAAAAAATTCTTCATCTCAATGAAAAGAAAACTGAAATATTGGTATTCGGCACTTAGATATCTCAGCTCCTCTCGGTGATGCTCTTCACTCTCTTGTTTCATATGAGACCATGCGCCAAAACCTATAACAACCTTTCACTTGTTTTGCAAAATCAAACAATCTTCTCAAAACTATATTATCTTTGCTGAAAAGCAAATACTGCTTTCAGATCACACATCAAGCCAGTCGGTTAAATAAACACTGCTGAACAGTCATTACACACTACAGCAAAATATTGAAAACACTACCAGTCAAAACTGTTGCTGGCATGTAAATTAGAAACCGCAAGACTATAGTAAAAAAGTATGGTCGTCTACCAAAAATATTTGTATACTGTACAGTTATGACTGATAACTAATATGTAACATTTGCCATATTCAGTACTTCAACAAAGTTACTGTAAAGAACAAAGCAAAGAAGTAAACAAATGAGAGGCACATTACAGTAAAATGTTGTGCAACTGCCAAGCCAGAGTCACGGAAGAATATTCATTCTGCCTCATCACCATGTCTCAGCGCTGGGTCTAGCGATGCTACCCCTTGTTGGGTGATGCAGAAAGAATCCTCTATGTGGCCCATTTGTACCCTGACGTCGAAATTCAGCTCCTATTCACCTCTGGCACTTACACTCTCATCCGGCATGTATTCTATGTTCTAGTCACTCCTTGGCTTCTTCAAATGTTTAGAAATGTGTGAGAACAGTTTTGAGTCATTGTGTTTAAATGACTACTGTGTGCGCGCTGCGCTTAACTTCTGCGGCCTGTGTTTTCTATTTTGCATCAAAGTTCACCATAGCGCAAAATGTGTTTTGATGAATGAGAATGTGTTTCAAGTTTTGCAAAAAGGGTGACTGAGATCTGCAAGTTGTGTCTAACTAAGTGAGCACGGTTTAAAGTTTCACCAAACAAGTGACTGATTCAATAAATGACTTTTGGCAACTGGCAGTTTTATGTTCCCAAAATGATTTTTAATATTTCAGCAATTCGGAAAAACTGTTTAAAATATTTCACCTATCTAAATAACATTTATCCAAAAGTGCTACAAATGCTTTTATTCAGCACAAACTCAGCACCAATAATCTGAGACCACTTAGAATGTGATCATTCTATTTTTTTTGTTGAAATCTACTTTAAACATACACTTTTCAAAAACTGATTTTCAGTGGTGCTGACAAATTGTAAAAAATCACATTATAAATGTTTTTTGCCAAGACTTTTGAGCTCTGAAGCTTATAGACATGGGGGCTGGCTACACAAAGGTGAATGAGACATTCAAAAAATTGCATGAAGTTTGATTACTAAAGTGTTACAACTTTGAAGTGACTTTGGAGTCACCACACCTTTGCATACTGTCAATGGCCCATCAGTCTGGAATGTCTGTCACTGCCCCTCACACCAATCAGTTTGGAAAGGCAGGTTGAATTTTAGGTTTTTTTTCAATTTCTAAGACAGATACTGAAGTTACTTTCTCAAAACTCTTCATACAGTGACCACAACATTAGCTTATGTGGGCATATTAAGCATTTCTCTTTGCTTTCATACAAAATGCAATCAACTACTAAACGCCTGAAAAGTCATGGATTCCTGTCTCACTCAACATCCATCAACATCACAACATTAAATTTTCAGAGGCCATTTTGCACATACCTACATACTGACCCTAAAACTACTAAAACAGTCAAAACCGAAATAGTCAATTTGCTAAATTACTATCAAGACCTATAATAGATTGTAATAACCACATAATATAAACAAATTATGTCAATTGACACAAGGTCAAACAATGAATGCTGGATGCCAAGATATTTCTCCAGAGCAATGCCAAGGATGGTTCATGCATGTGAAGAGATACTACCCTAGATACTACCCTGTCTTAGC